AGTTTCTTTGATGGGTCCTTGTTAAATTTTTGATTTTGGGATTTTTTTTGTTTGTTTTGCTTTAGGCGCTGAGTTCGAATGGAGTAGATTTGCTTAAAGTTTACCGATTTGGATCTGAAATTCATTGTATCCACAGAGATTTGGAGCTCTCCACTTTCATTTGGAGATAGTGCTGGTCTAGAATGTTCGATACGGAGTCTCACCACTCAGATTCAGCTCTTTTCTACATCTGCTCCGTGTATTTTACGGCTTTGAAGCTTATCATTTGTCAGAAAGAAACTTCATTGGCTCCTTTGTGCATTGAAGACATCTTTGCTCCAATACAGAGCTGAGATTATACTTATCTGTTTAACGCCGTGAAGCATCTCTTGTTCTTGCTTTTAAACTTGTGATTCGGGGAGTATGGTACCGTCAGAGCCGCCCAATCCAGTTGGCAGTGGCGATAATGTTCCACCTTCTATTTTAGGAGGTCAAGGAGGACCTCCTCTTCCTTCCCAACCAGCATTTCCTTCCCTTGTTTCTCCGCGTACTCAATTCGGTAACAACATGACTATGAGTATGCTTGGGAATCCGCCAAACATATCGTCCCTCCTCAACAACCAGTCTTTTGTAAATGGTATTCCCGGTTCAGTGATTTCTATGGACACCAGTGGGGCTGAGTCTGACCCTTTGTCCAATGTTGGCTTCAGTGGTTTATCATCTTTTAACGCGCCGGGTATGGTGTCGCCGCGCTCATCAGGTCAAGTTCAGGGTCAGCAATTCTCAAACGTTTCGTCTAACCAGTTGTTGGCAGAGCAACAACGGAATAAGAAACTGGAGACTCAGAATTTCCAACATGGTCAGCAATCAATGCAACAGCAACAGCAACAGCAGTTTCCAACAGTGCGTGGAGGAGGGTTACCAGGTGTTGGACCCGTCAAGTTGGAACCTGGTCAGGTTTCCAACGACCAGCAGCACAGTCAAGTACAACAGCCGCAACAGAAAATGTTGAGAAACCTAGGATCAGTGAAGGTGGAACCGCAGCAACTTCAGGCCATGAGGAGCTTGGCCCAAGTGAAAATGGAACCCCAACATCCAGAGCAGTCATTGTTTCTCCAACAGCAGCAGAGGCAACAACAACAACAGCAATTTCTTCAAATGCCGGGGCAATCTCCGCAGGCTCAAATGAACATATTTCACCAGCAGAGAATTATGCAACTTCAACAACAGCAACTCTTGAAATCAATGCCTCAACAGCGTCCTCAACTACCACAGCAGTTCCAACAGCAGAACTTACCTCTGCGGCCACCTCTAAAACCAGTGTATGAACCTGGCATGGGTGCTCAGCGTCTTACACAGTATATGTACCGACAACAACATAGACCCGAGGTAAAACTTCTTACCGTGAATGTTTTTTTTCATTCCTTTGCTTTTCTTCGTGATTGACAGTTGTACCTGGCATTGAATGCAGGACAACAACATTGAGTTCTGGAGAAAATTTGTAGCTGAGTACTTTGCTCCTAATGCCAAAAAGAGATGGTGTGTTTCTATGTATGGCAGTGGCCGGCAAACAACTGGCGTTTTCCCTCAGGTTTACTGCTCAATGAACTTGCACTTGTTTGTAATATGATTAAGAAAGTGCTTTTCTTTTTCATCTAGTTCCATCTTCTTGTGCTAATCTGATCTCATGCAATCAAGCTGGTTGTTTTGAAAATACTATGTACTTGTTTCTTGTTATACCTCTTTAAATGGGTCTTTTTTTATTTTACAAACATTGCAGGATGTCTGGCACTGTGAGATATGTAACCGAAAGCCTGGACGCGGGTTTGGTATGTTATTTAGATGATCAGTGCTGGTGCTGAGAATTGTATTTTTGGATTATAACATCTTGGTGGAGTTCTTATGAAATATTCCGTCCTTATTCCTCCTTTGTCTGCTTTGCCTTTTTTTGTTGTTTAGAAGCAACTGCTGAAGTCCTTCCGCGGCTTTTTAAGATAAAGTATGAAAGTGGCACATTGGAAGAACTTTTATATGTCGATATGCCAAGGGAATCGCAGAATTCATCTGGTCAAATTGTCTTGGAGTATGCAAAAGCAACTCAAGAGAGTGTATTTGAGCATCTTCGAGTTGTTCGTGATGGCCAACTTCGAATAGTTTTCTCTCCAGATCTTAAGGTTCTTCAAACTACACTCTCTCTTGGCAATCTACTATATCACATGATGTCCTCTCCTAGTCCTTTATTCTTGTGTGTTCCTTCTCAGATATTCTCATGGGAATTTTGTGCTCGGCGGCATGAAGAGCTCATTCCGCGAAGACTTTTGATACCACAGGTAGCTTCCAGAAAGATTAATCATTATCTCTTTGTTTCCATATTGAAACTTCATCTTTTGGATTTATGTTCTAACAATACTGATAAACCCATCATATGTTGTGATAGGAAGTTATTGGTCTGACAGATAATTTTTATGTATATGCTGTCTTAACATTAGTGTACTCTGTTTTACTTTCGTTTTGGGTTTCTGTGTAACTCTATTTGCGAAACCATAATTTCTCCTTTCTCTTTCTGTAGTTCCAAGTTTGGATATTAGTGAAGTAGTACCTCTAAATCAACAAAAACAGCTTATGTAACTAGCAATTTTGTATTTCATGTACAGGTTAGTCAACTTGGATCGGCAGCTCAGAAATATCAACAAGCTGCACAAAATGCAACAACAGATTCTGCTCTTCCGGAGCTACAAAATAATTGCAACATGTAAGCTTCCTCACATTTGTTGTTAGATTGCTGTAAACTATTGGACCTTCTATTGGTGATCTCTGATGTGCTGTCATTGTTCTGTAGGTTTGTTGCATCTGCTAGACAATTGGCAAAGGCCCTGGAAGTACCGCTCGTGAATGATTTGGGATACACAAAGAGATATGTTCGGTGTTTGCAGGTATATCATTAATGTCTCAATATGAATCAAGTGCCATTGCAACTCTGTAATCGTGCATAAAATACTTGCATTCAAAGCATGTTAAGCTTGGGAAAGGATATAACCACAATTAAATCCACCTGTGTAGTAAATATCATGTTTGCCAATGCACATTGATCGTTTGCTATATTGTAGATCTCGGAGGTAGTGAATAGTATGAAGGACTTGATAGACTATAGCAGAGAAACAAGAACAGGACCAATTGGTAAGTTAATGCTTTTAAAGAAAGAGATTTTTTTCATCTTATAGCATCTATTCTTCTATATCTTTGTGCATTATGCTATCTTCATATACCGCATTTTCCCTACGAAGTAAAGCAAATATTTTCTTGTTCTTCTGTAATTTACCGGTGTTTTTGTGACAGCTGAATTTGTATTTATAACGCATGACTAATAGATATCCTGTGTCAATCTCTTTTTTTTGGATTCATTTTTATGTTGAACAGAGAGTTTAGCCAAGTTTCCTCGGAGAACAGGGCCTTCATCTGCACTGCCTGGTCCGACTCCTCAGCAACCAAGTGAACAGCTAAGGCAGCAGCAGCAAACAGTTGCCCAGAATGCAAACAGTGAGCAGAGTTCTGGGCAAGGTGCACTAATGCAGGTCAATCCCAGCAACGGAGTAAACTATGCCTTTAATGCAGCTTCTGCATCCACCTCCACCAGCAGCATTGCAGGGCTCATCCACCAGAACTCGATGAAGCAAAGGCATCAGAATCCTGCTTACAATCCTCCGAATAGTCCGTATGGTGGAAACTCAGTTCAGATGCCGTCACCTAGTTCATCAGGTACCATGGCGCCATCATCCCAGCAACAACACAACATGCCATCATTTCAGTCTCCAACTAACTCATCTAATAACAATAATCCCTCCCAAAACGGGATAACAACTGTTAATCACATGGGCTCCACGAATTCTCCAGCGATTCAACAGGCAGCTGAGGCTGAAGCAAACGAGTCGAGCTCTGTGCAGAAGATACTGAATGAAATTCTAATGAACAACCAAGCTCATAATAGCAAAGGCGGAGGCATGGTTGGGCATGGCTCATTTGGGAATGACGGGAAGGCATCTAGTGTAAATAACTCTGGTGTTGTGGTGATGAATAGCCAAGTGAACAACAACAACAACCCAAGTATTGGAGGTGCTGGTGGGTTTGGTGGTGGGATGGGTCAGTCCATGGCAGCAAACGGAATGAATATTAGTGGGAACAATGGTCTGATGAACGGAAGAGTTGGGATGATGGTGCGGGATCCAAACGGGCAACAAGATCTGGGAACTCAGCTCTTAGGAGCGGTCAATGGTTTCAACAATTTTCAGTGTGATTGGAATGGGTAAAAGATGGAGATGAAGAGACTTTGGACGGGTAATGTTCTGCTTGCGCAGCATCACAACTCAGTAAAAGGTTAGGCCATAAGCCGCGATACTGTGCTTAAGAAAGGATAAAAGAGGAGTCAAAATCTTGTACAACAGCTGGTTTCTAGGTCCACCATACCAACTCTTGAGTTGC